TTAGGTTTCTGCTCACTCTAATACATTGCTGGGTAACTTTGAGACAAATGTCTTAATCTCTGTTTCCTCAATAAAACAAGGAGAATACTATCTTTAAGAGCTGTTAAAAGGATTAAGTAAAATAGTACTTATCAAGCTGTAAGTACAAGGCCTAGTATAAAGTAAGACCACCTAACAAGGGGCCTGGAGAGATGGCTCAGTGGTCAAGTGCACTGGCTGCTTTCCAGAGGACCTGGCTTCAATTCCCAGCACCCACAGGGTGGTTCATTAGACCAGCTGTAACTCCAGTTCCAGGCAGTCTACAGCCCTGCAGTGGTCTCCTTCAGCACCAGGCACACAAGTGGTACACAGACATACATGTAGGCAAAACACCTATACACATAAAAATAATTTTAAAAAATTACCTAACAGTATACTTCCCTTTCTAATTCCCAAAAGGTTTAGTCAAAGACTGATTCATAGAGGAGGGACTTAAAGAACAGAGGAAAATTGTTGGATCAACAGAAAGGAACCTTTTCTTCAGGTCACCAGATTCATAACTTTAAAGATAAAGATAAAGCCAGGCATGATGGCACATGCTTATAATCACAGGAGGTGGAAATAGAAGGAACTGGAGTTTGAGGCTAACCTGGGTTGCACGTGGAGCTAAAAAGGCCAACCTAGGATAAACTATAAGTCCCTGACTCAAAAAGAAGGGAGTGGGGATACATTATCAGGTTACAAGTTTATTACAAATAGGAGGCTAATATCACTGATGTTAAAAATGCTTCCCTTTATTAAATGTTCTTCATATCCTCTAACTTTACAATTCTTTGAGGTTCTACACTCGTATAGTTTTCTCCCATCCTCTTCCTGAAGCCTGACTCCTGACTCACTCTCCTCACTTTGTGACCTAAGCCTTAGCCATACAGACACACCTTAGCGTTCACTCAGAAATCTACAGACTTTTGGGTGAAGACCAGAGGCCAACATCGAAGAGCTCAGAAAGAGTCTGTGTGGCACAATGAAAAGGGCATGGGCAATGGAGACAGACATAGGGTTAAATACTACCTCTGCCACTTTTTAGATGTATAACCTTGAGCAAGGCCCTAAGCCTCTCTGAACCACATTTCCTCATCAGTAAAACCGAGATAATGCCATCTACATTTCATAATGTTCTTGTCAGGATTACAGAAATACCTATGACAATTCCTGGCACATAAAAGGCCAATTAATGGTAACTATTATTAGGGTCCAACTGCCAATTGCCTTACTGAACATTTTGCCAGGCTGTACTTCTCTAACTGGCAAGGGAGTCACACTGTTCTCACATTCCCATGCCTCTATCCAAAACACTCAATTTCAGTAATCTATAATTAACTGAATGGAGGGCTTAAACAATTCAGGGCAAGAAAGCGCTAACATGGCTCAACTCATTCTCTCCTGACAGCAACAAAGCAAGTACAATGCAGATATGTTTGCCAAGAAAAACATGGAGTCTGTCTGAACATGGTCATTACCGATAGTAACGTAAGCACACGCTAGCTGAGGTTCTTAAGGCTGGGAGTCTTATTGTCAGGAAGTTTTAACTTTTCAGAAATCCTTTCTGCCTTGTTTTCTCTACTGTGCTAGCACCCATTTCTAAGAATACATGGAAGAAATGCTCTTAACTGTTGTTACATTCACTCATAGTGGAACTTATTTTCCCATTTTATAAATTACTACTTCAGAGATGTTTGCTGAGTTCACTTAGAGTAGGCTTATGAAAGAGAACTTTAAAAACAGATATGTCATAACCACAATGACAAGATCTGGTCTATAGAGTACCACAAGTTACAGGATGAAGGCAGGTGCCAAAGGTAAAATGTGGCCAGGTAACCTGCACCCCATTATTTTCATTCTTATGACTACTGAACTTGGGAAGTCTGACTCTTACATACTTACATGTGTGGCTGACCAAAGTAATGGGACCAAGAAAATTGATAACTGATACACAAATGGAAAGGGGAAAACACCAATGGAAATGAAATAACATAAGATTGTCTGGTAGTCGCAAAATAAAAGTAACAGTCACCATTTACATAGCTAAAGGCAACTATTTTAATCCTCGTATACCCAGTCCCTCCACACACTTTAATAAAGCAGAGGGGAGTCAAGGACAGAATGACTTAACTAGACAATTCAAGAAGCAAGAAAGGCTCAACAAATCAAAACATCACACGACTGGTTCTTTGTTGAGTGACTTTCTATTTGGAGAAAATGTAGTCAATTCAATATTAAGAAAACTAAAGATTGTGCTCTTTAAAAATGGCAAGCCAACCAAAAAAAAAAAAAAAGGCCAGGCGGTGGTGGCGCACGCTTTTAATCCCAGCATTCGGGAGGCAGAGGCAGGCGGATCTCTGTGAGTTCGAGGCCAGCCTGGACTACCAAGTGAGTCCCAGGAAAGGCACAAAGCTACACAGAGAAACCCTGTCTCGAAAAACCAAAAAAAAAAAAAAAAAAAAAAAAAATGGCAAGCTAAATGTGGTGGCACACACTTCAGATCCCAGCACACAGGAAGTTGAGGTAGAAGAATCATTAGTTCAAAGCCAATCAATCTGCTTGGCTGGCCTCAAACTCACTATACAGCCAAGGATGAGTTTGAACTTCTGATCTTCCTGCCTCTACCTCCCTAGTACTGGGATTATAGGAATGAACCTCCATGCCTGGCTTATATGGTACTGTAGATCAAACTTGGAGCGTCTTGCCTGCTAGGCTACCACTCTACCAATAGAACCACATCTACAGCCCCTGAGACCCTGTTTTAAAAAAAGGAGAAAAGTTCAGGCCAGCTGTGGTGGCACACAGCTGTAATCTCATACTCAGGAGGCTGAGGCAGGAAGATTATAGAGGATAGCCTCAGCTACACGGTTCCAAGCAGCTTGGGCTATATGAGAGACCCTAACAAGGAAAGAGGAGGAGGGCAGGATAAGAAAGAAAGGCGAGGGAGAGGAAAGAAGGGAGGCAAGCTAAGCTCAGCGATGTCCTCACTTATGTCATACAGCTTCATCCTTGCCCAGGACTTCACCTGCCTACGGGTTCTTTAGTGTAATTAACATTGAAGGCAAGTTCAGCCCTGTCTTCATAGCCTTGAGGCTGCTGAGTAAATCTAGAATCATGGAACATGATTTTGATACTGAAAAAAAAAAAAAAAAAAAAAAAAAAACAGGAAAAAGGTGGCTCAGCAACAAGGAAAATGTCCAAGAAGCACATTTGGAATTAGGAAAAACAGACTCTAGGGTGCTGGCCTGTGGTTTTTTAAAACTTCTTTATATAGAATCTACTGAACTATTACTACTATATGTATACATTTCAGAGAAGGTCACAGGGTCATACTTAAGCCTTGAGGAGAGAAATAATCAATTTTAATAACAGCTATCATTTAAGATTTTATTATAGGTACCAAGTTCTATGAGAAGAACACATTTTTAATAAGTACCCTCATTTTATAAAAGAAGTGACATAGAATTTGCAAATTATTCAAAAGTTAGTACTAGGAGAAGGGGCACTATATTCAAACCCAGGTCTATACCTGAGTGTAAATGTCATACTCTAAAAGTAATTTATTAAACATTTTTACCCTTAAAATAACTGAATTACAAACTTTAGAAAAAATAATCACAAGAAAAAGATTTAGTCAAAGTTACAAAGCATCTTAATTAGTGAGAAATATGATTTGGATTTCCTAACTTTTACCTAAGTACTTCCAGGCCTAGCCCAGGCTGCCTCGTTTAACTGCAATTCCTCCATTTAAGTATAATTGCAGGGGGGGGGGGGGCACAACGCGACGCTGACACTGACGACACCAAATAGCTAAGGACAGACAAAGCGTGTCCTAAAGCACTGTTAAAATTCCTTCAGTCTTGCCTCTGACACCATTTATCACTACATTTGGGAAGTAAGAATGAAAAAGTTATCTGCTCTAAGTCATGAGGTAATTACAACAAAATGTTTTGTTGGATCCAAGATACACCCAAACCCTACACAGTAAACCCAATGTAGACTTCACATCCTTTTTATTGTTCTGACAGAACAAATGCACTCATTATAATGAAGAAAAAATATAAATCTGTGTTCATATTGTGCCTAGGAAATAAAACCGTAATTCTTTTTAGATGGTCCACATCTCGTCTTTTTCCTCCTGTGCTGACTTAGCATGGAGAAAGGTGAGAAAAAACGGGGGGGGGGGGGTAAAGGATAGTCAATGCATGAATAATATGGGGTACTATCATTACACGTTACTATGTATCAAAAAAACTGACAGCTGAGACAGGCCCCAAGTGATCGCTTTCCCAAAAGTAGCAGCATTTCTTCCTAACACTTACTGCTCACAACAAATGAAATAAGCGTTCTCCTCATCCACGATCTAGTAATTCTGGTGAGCAGACCTCTTAAGAGTGAAGCATCTCTCCATTACCCTTCTACAATCACGGTGCAAGGAAATGCAGGGGCTAGAAAGGAAGGACGCGGGATCAGTACTGCCCTGTGGAAAGCTGCTGGCTACAGAGAGGCAGAAAGTCATCATCTGTACAGAAGCCAGGCAACTCAGTGGGTTGCCTGAGCTCTCGTGAGCGCTAACTACTGCTTCCTCGTTCTCCGAGGAAAAAGATCCTGCTATCCTTATCGCTGGAGGGAAGGGTTTTCTATGCCGCCGAACAGTCCGGAAAATCACACGCGGGAGTGTGCTGAAGGCGGGGGGTGTAGTAGTAGGTGCCTCTCCTCCCCCTGCCTCGTCCAAGTAGTAGCGAAGAGCGCTACCTCCATGTTATCCGTAGCGAAGTACGGCCGTGGCACCTGGAGGCTCGGCTTCGCCGCAGAGCACCGGGCGGCGGCGGCTCGGAGAGCCGCTTCAAGGGGGGACAGGGCTCTCGGCTCCCCGATCTAGAGGGCGTGGAAGTGGGTGCTGCCGTGCGGCGAAGGGCCGCCGCTCCCCTGCCCGCCCGCCCTCCCCGCCTCTCCGAGAGGCAGCCCGACCACAGTACCTTCTTGACGGTGCGCGGCGCCTCGGTGACCGTGCCGTCGGGGCTGACCAGGGCCTCGCCGCCGTCGCGATGCCGCTGGTGCTGGTGATGAGGGTCACTCCGCTTCATGGCCGACGCTTGAGGCACCTTCCCGGCCGCAGGGCTGAGAGCCGCGGTGGGCCCCGAGCCCGGGCCAGGGGCCGGGGGCCGCTCCGCTACGGGAGCTGGAGCTGGAGCCTCTGGGTCCCCGCCGCCCGCCGGGGGTACCATGGCGCCCACAGCCGCCGTGCTCAGTCCTAACTGGGGCTCCGCCTCGGAGGGGCTCAGAGCCCTCAGCTCCACCTCAGGCACCTTGGCCGTCGCCGCTGCTGACACAACCTGCACCGACATCACCGCCTCCGCTGCAACCGCCGGCTCCGACTCCAGCTCCGGCTCCCACTCGGCCCCGCCTCCCGCCTCCCTTCCCTTTCCCTCCCCCATACCCCCACTCCTCCCCTCCATCGCCTCCGCTCCCACCCCCTTCCACCGCCCGCTCGCTCGCCACCAGCCCGGCCCCTCCAGCCTCGCCCCACCCCCGTCTGACTCACGCGCGAGGCGCCACGGAACCTGTAGTACGCTTGCTCCAGGCTGCACGTGGCTAGAAGACTGTGGGACCTCAGCACCCAACCTGCACTGCGCGCGCGGGGGGGACAGGCCGCAGAGCTCCCTGGGACTTGTAGTCCCTTTGGCCTTCTGTGGCGAGGGAACTCCCCGGACAGCGACTAACGGAAAAGTATAAAAACGGATGACGCGACGGAATCGATGAGGAAAACGTCTCCAGAGGGGTTGCGGTTTCCGGAAGGGAATGCCAGAAACCCCAGGGAAAGTGGGGGAAGAATGACTCGCTCCCCTGACGGCGTGACTTTCCTCCGGAGTGTGCGCATGTGTGCGATCACGTGGGCGGCCTTTAAAGGAAAAGCGGCACGTCATATGAGGTGAACGCCGGCTTGGGGACCGTATGGTCTTCTCCCTTTGGAGCTGGCCCTCTGAAGCCTTTCTTCAGTGGGTTGGTTTCTAGAAGAAATGAAATAAGCCATTGCCTGCTGTGATGATTTCTGGCATATTCTGAGTTAAGAAGCTAAAACCAACCCCCTCAAAAAAGAAATTTCATCAGGGAGTGGTGGAGTATGCAGTAATACTATCACTTGAACATCCGAAGCAAATACATCACCAGTAGTTCAGGGCCAGCAAGCTGAGCTCAGAAGCAAGACCCTGCCATTAAAGAAAAAAAAGAAAGAAAAAATTCCATTAGGTTGAAATCTCAAAGCTGAGAATTAACACATTGCTTTTAAATGGCCAAATCTTGACCAATTAATTCTCTAGAAATAATCAGAAATTCATCAAAATAATCACGTTGCACAGCAGAATATTAATCCAAATAGGATTTTCGTAAGGAATACAAACTGATTTACTTTCTATAATTTTCTATTTTGCACTTGGAGAGTGTAAGAAAGACATTTATAGAAATTTTATTTAGTGAGACAAGGTCTTGCCATCTGTCCCTGGCTGGCCTAGAACCGACTGAAGTCAGAAGGCTTTGGGTCCCCGAGGACTAGTTACAGACCGTTGTGAAATGGTATGTGGGTACTGGGAATCAAACCTGGGTCCTCTGAAAGAACAACAAATTCTCTTAACCGCCAAGCCAGATCACCAGCCTCCAGTTTTATTTTTAATAACAAAAATTAAAATTAACTACCTATCGGGCAGGTCATAGTGGTAATCCCAGCACTTGGGGGACTGAGACCTGAGTACAGGAATTTGTCAAGGTTGGCCTTGACTGCTTAGGAAAACACTGTCTCAAAAATAAGAAATAAACTTAATGTTTTGTTGATGATAGAATTGTTTTTCCTTTTAAAAATTGTTTTCCTAGCCAGGCAGTGGTGGCTCACTCGTTTAATCTCAGGAGGCAGAGACAGAAGGATTTCTGAGTTGAAGGCCAGCCTGGTCTGCAGAGCAAGTTCTAGGACAGAACTACCCAGAGAAACCCTGTCTCAAAAAACAGAGAAACAAACAAACAAAAAGTTAGACTGAAAAGCAGGAGACAGTACTACATATTCTAGGGGTGAGAGAGCTGACTTAGAACTTAGGAGCCATTGCTGGAGTTCCCAACAACCACGTTGAGCAGTTCACAGCTGTTTTTACCTCCAGGGCATCTGACACCCTCTTCTGGCCCTTCACACACACACACTTAAAAATCTATTTTTAATTGCACATTCCTTGAGATTTTATGTGAATATTAACTAAAGGAAAAATGCATTAATACATAGTTGACTTTCTTTTTTTAATGTGCACTGACTGATGTTTTGCCAGCATGTATATCTGTATGAAGGTGTTAGGTACCCTGGAGTTACAGATAGTTATGAACTGTCGTGTGGGTGCTGGGAATTCAACCCAAGTCCTCTGGAAGAGCAGCCGGTGCTCTTAACTGCTGAGCCATCTCTCCAGCACCATGGTTGACTTCTTTTTTAAGATTTATTTATTATGTATAGTGTTCTGCCTGCATGTATGCCTGCAGGCCAGAAAAGGGCACCAGATCTCATTTCAGATGGCTGTGAGCCACCATGTGGTTGCTGGGAGTTGAACCTCTGAAAGAGCAGCCAGTGCTCTTAACCTCTGAACCATCTTTCCAGCCCCCCATGTTTGACTTTTATGACATATTATAAGGTAGGCTTTTTTATTCTTAAAGACATGGAGGAAAATCAAACAGTTTGGTTGCTCAGAAACTCAAGTGGGCCGATGACCAGCTAGGCACCGGAGAAGCTACTTCTTCCTTAGCAAGAAGGTGACAAGGAGAGAAATCCCCTGCTTCCATCTACTGCTTCTACCTTGGAAGTCTCCTCGTTTGGTAGCTTGGGAAGCTTTCATTTCCTGGTCTACAAATTTGTGCTGGAAGGCACTTGAGCACTGCCATCTCCACAAAACGCCCAAATCTGTCACACAAGAACATATTTGGCTTCCTCATCACAGTCTGGCTTTGACCGTTTCCTTCCTGTTTTGAAGAAGTGGCCCAGAGCTTCGTCCTGCAGCTGTTGGGCAGAGGCTAACAACTCTAGAACTGATTTCTTTCTTCCTCCTAATGCACAAGGGAGCTTCAGCACGGCCACCTGGTGTACCAGGAGCTCGTACCTAGCAGCTGGCTACCTGGGCGGCCACTAGAATTGATTACTGAGCGGAAGAACCCGCCTTCAGTAGGATGTGGTGAGGAAACATAAGTAGTCTGAGCCCTGGAAAGAGGCAGATAGTTAGTCTCTGTTTATCCATATCCTCCCATTACCGAGAACCAACAATCAGATCGTATTCTTCACCTTTTCAGCTCCAGCTTTTCCATCTGCTCTTTCTGTGGCAGAGCTTTGTTGCTGAGGCAAGCCAAGCCTAGGCAAAGGTGGAATTACTAGACTAGAAGCAGGATGGTTGTGCACCAACTATTAACTATTTAAGGAAATTTTAAACCTACAAGTCTTTTTCCTTCAGCTGGTTCACTCAGCTTCCAGAAGCCTGGCAGACAGTAATCTTCCATAAGACATCTGACCAGTCCAAGAGGGAAAATGAAAATACTAATGCTGAAGAATTCTCCAAGGAAATAGGCTAGCCAGATCACACACAGTGAAGATCATACTGTGAAACATCTAGTGCCACACGATGAGCAGACAGCCAAAGTCACCAGACACATGAAACAAACCTCTGGCATGAAAGCCAGATAAGAAGCTGGTAATGCAGCTCAGGGGTAGTATTCCCAGAGGCCCTGAGTTCCCTCTCCAGCAGCACAAGAAAAGAGATAAAAGCTAATATTTCTTTTAATCATAAAACAGCTAGTAGTTAGTGCCAGGCAGTGATGCATGCCTTTAATCCCAATATTTGGGAGGCAGAGGCAGGCAGATCTCTGTGAGTTCTAGGCCAGTCTGGTCTACAGAAGGAGTTCCAGGACAGCCACCAAAACTACACAGAGAAACCCTGTCTCAAAAAACAAACAAACAAAAACCACTGCAACTGGTAGTGCACTCATATACCCGAGTACTCAGGAGACTGAAGAGGAAGGATGGGGTTCAGTGCTGGCCTGGGGTAGACAGAGTTCAAACCTGCCTCAGCTATATAGACTGACCCACTACCACCAAATCACTAATATACTTGGAGACTTGCAATACTGTATTTGTGAAGGAGCATACAGTTTCAAGGAGTAAACACTCAGATAACAAAAGCACTTTTTAAATGGAAGCCTTCTAGCAGAATTTTTTTCATTAGAAAATTTTAAATAGGAAAGTTTTGTTGTAGTTGTTGTTTGTTTATTTGTTTGTTTGTGTTTGTTGAGGTGGGATCTTCCTGTGCAGCCTGGCTGGCCTTGAACTTGCCATTTAGACCGGGCTGACTCAAAACTTCAGCAAGTCCTCCTGCCTCTGCCCCCTAAATGTGCTGAGATTCCAGGTGTGTGTATGCCTGTATAGAGAAGATGTTTTCTATCTTTTGCTCAGATGTTGAAAATGGTAGCTTATACGAATCGCAAGTGTTTTAATGTATATTTTTGCATAATACATACAGTGTATTGAATAGCTCTGGTGTTCTGGAAAAGGAATACTTTTTCAGACAAACACGCTCTTTTCTTTACATTTCAAAAGCAGAATGTTCGCAGGTACATTTCAGTGGCAGAGCACTCGCTACACATGCTCCAAGGCCTGGCTTCCATTCCCAGCACCACAATAAGGAAATACAAAATCACAGAAGAGAAAAATTAAACATTGGGAGAGGGTGGGGTGGAAACGATGTAGATACAGTACTCACTTGAAATTCACAAAGTAAATGTTAAAAATACATAAAATAAATTAGATGACTGATGAGCAAAGCCCAAATAGTAGACATTCTAGAAGGACAAAGAAAATTGAGAGGGAAGTTAGGGTACAACAGAGGGAGAGGACTTGCCTGGCATGTGTAAAGCCTTGGGTAAGAACCAGAATATGGCCGGGCGGTGGTGGCGCACGCCTTTAATCCCAGCACTCGGGAGGCAGAGCCAGGCGGATCTCTGTGAGTTCGAGGCCAGCCTGGACTACCAAGTGAGTTCCAGGAAAGGCGCAAAGCTACACAGAGAAACCCTGTCTCGAAAAAACCAAAAAAAAAAAAAAAAAAAAAAAAAAAAAAAAAAAAAAAAAAACCAGAATATGAAAGGAGCCACTACATGCCCAGCACAGTCTTTGAAAATAGACCTCAGTTAATTTATATCATTGTGGGATTTCAAAAGAGGACCTTTCAAATGTCTACAGCAGGACTACATAGAGAATGTGAAGTCATCCTGTCTACATAGCAAGACCCTGTCTCAAAAAAATAAAAGGGGCCAGGTGGTGGTGGTGCATGACTTTAATCCCAGTACTCGGGAGGCAGAGACAGGTGGATTTCTGTGAGTTCAAGAGTTCAAGGCCAGCCTGATCTACAGAGCAAGTTCCAGGACAGGCTGGCCTTGATAGGTAGGTAGGTAGGTAGATAGATAGATAGATAGATAGATAGATAAAAGAGACTAGCAAGACATGGGAGAAAGCTGAGTCACAAGTTGTCTTCTGACCTCTGCATGGCGCCATGCATGCTTTTGTATACACACACATACACACACATAACTGTAAAAAAGTTAAAGGACCAATCAAACACAAAGCAATATGCAAATTACCTGTGGATACATAACTGCATCTGCACATAAGAAAGTATAAGAAATAGCCAAGCACGGAGGTGCCTGCCTGTAATAAGAGCTTATCAGGAGGCTGAAGCAGAACTGGGAGTTTAAGGCCAGTGTGAATGAAGTAGATACAGAATCACAGGCCAATCTGAGCTCTATAATAAACCTCAGCCTGGCATAGTGGTGCACGCCTTTAGTCCCAGCACTCAGAATCTCTGAGTTCAAGGCCAGCCTGGTCTACAAAGTGAGTTCTAGGACAGCCAGGGCCACACAGAGAAACCCTGTCTTGAAAAACAGACCAAAAAAAAGACTTGAGATCTTGTCTCAGAAAGAAAAAAAAAAAAAATACAGACTGTTCCTTTCAAGGAGCGTGGAGAGAACTGACTCATGAAAGCTGCCCTCTGACCTCTTCACGTGTGCCATGGAACATGCATACATACACAATAAACATAATAAACAATGTGTTTATGTGTGTACACATGCACCACCTGTGAGTTGTCACACTTGGCAGCAAGCCATTACCTGCCGAGCTATCTCGCCAACCCTGCCCCGCATTTTTACATGGGTTCTTCGTACCAAACTCAGGTTCTCACGCTTGTGACGCACACGTTTTATCAGTGTGCTATCTCCCCAGCTCTGGAATACGAGGTTTTAGTCTAGTCTCTGCAATTTTCCTTGTCTTTTCCATTTTTCACACTAAGAGCTCGAGTGGTCAGGGGAAGGGTTGGGGCAGTGCCTTCTGCTTTAAGGAAGCTGGAACCAACAGAGGTAGGAACTGGGAGTCTGAGGTTGAGAGTGTGGTAGGGAAACCCAAGGAGCCAGGTGAGGCAGAGCTGTGGGGAAGTGGTTCTCAGGACAGCCAAAATTGGCACCTCTTGGACCTGAAGGTGTTTCCTTAGGGATCGGATTCAAGACTTTCAGATGGAATGCTGATCATTGTTGTGTGACTTCTGCGGCTCCTACAGAATCCTGTAAGGTTTCCTGTTTGCTTGGGTGTCACATTCCTGGGCATCCAGCTGCAGCTGAGTCGCATGCAGATACACAGGCAAATAATGAGTTAGTGCTGTCCTCTAGTGCTCACAATCTGTCACTGCAACCATATGGGTTTCTCCGCTTTTTGAAGGCCCAGATTGAACTCAATACTCCATCACTCCATCCTTTACACAAGCAATCCTTCTAAGGAAGAAAAAGAGGGGAGGGAGGGAGGGAGGGAGGGAGAGAGGGGGGGAGAGAGGACAGCAGAGGACAGACTAATAGTTAAGTGTTCATGGATAGGAAATGAAGAAAACTGTAGCAATTTCTTATTTCAGAAAATATCCTGTAACACTGAAAAGTGTTAGTGTTTTTAATGCTGTCGATGACTTCTTTTTAAGCCATGTTTCTGTACAGAGCTGCAATGCCAAGAATGAACATGACATGTAAGTGCAGAGGATGGGGTGGCCTGAGGAAACACTAGACACTAGGAATGAATTTCCGCTGGGCCAGTGTCTGCGCCGTTCTGGCTGTGAGGTTGTGTGTAAGTCACTTTGCATTGCTTTGCTGAGCTCCTTCCATGTGAAGAACACGTCTGGCTGGATCCAGAAACCAGGTCCTGCCTGAATGCCAGCATGACCAGCAGCTGAAGGGTTTGGAGCAGCCCACTAAGCCTTTCGTGCCTCAGTGTCTTGAGAGGTATAAGAGAACCTTGCAGGGCTGTGACATTCTGTGAGCAGAATCTGTAGAGGGCTCCGAAGTGTCTAACCAACACTCAGTGTTAGGTGTCAGGGTATAAACATAATAAACATAATAAACAATGTGTTTGTGTGTGTACACATGCACCACCTGTGAGTTGTCACACTTGGCAGCAAGCCATTACCTGCTGAGCCATCTTGCCAACCCTGCTCAGCATTTTTACATGGGTTCTATGTATCAAACTCAGGTACATATCTACAAGATACCTAGGATAAAATCAACATGCCCTTTCTCCTCTCCCTGGAATCTGGCTCCAGTCAAAATCCTGGTGTCCCCATCACACATGTGACTGAATAAGGGGATACTCCTTAAATTAGCCAGCTCAGCACTCCACAATACCCTTCAGGTCTATATGGGTCTCACTGCCTTTCCTCCAGACCTCCTGACTATATGATCTAGAGCCACTTGAATGCTGATATTTTAAAGAAGCAAAACTAATAAGCTTCCCTTGACTTTAAATCCCTTCGACTGCCCAGAAAACAAGCTGTGAATCAGAATGCACCAATCTAACATCTCTGCTAGGAGGCAGAGCATGCCACCACTGCAATGGTAGAACCTAGGATTGGCAGGAATTATGCCCATCCATACACTACCAGAGAAACACTCACTTCCAGTGGCCACTCCAAGGGCCTGCTGCATGTCTGTCCTTGACTCTCTTGTTCAGTACTTAGGGATGCAGCTGTGGCCACAGAGGATCTTTTGTCCATCTACAGCCAAGTAGCTGGAAAGAGCAGCAAGCACAATAAGCGGAATCAGCCCAACATCTGACTCAGTCATAACCTCATCAACCTCAAGCTCTCCACTGGTCAAAAAAGCCTCAGGAACACACGGAAGATCCGGACCAGGTACATAGGCTCCAGCTGGGGCTGGGGCAAAGAAACACACTTGAGCTTATACAAAAACGTTTTATTTACTGTTTATATTTCTTCTTCTTCTTCTTCTTATACAGATCCCCTGACCTGGAGTCCAGCCAGCTTCTAAGGCATCCTGCTGTCTGGTTCTTGAATGTGGGGCACTATGAACATGACTAGACATTGTAAAAAAGTGGGGAGTCCCCCCTCCCAGCAGATACCGAAGTCAGAAGAAGCTTTCTTGCCTAGCTCAAGCTACAGAAGCTTCCCAACATAGCCCCTTAAGTCAAAGGGTCCATCTCCACTGGATGAGCATGCGGAAGAAATACATATCTCTCTTAGAGGCCTGGAGCGGAACCAGTCTTCACCTGGAGACTGAGCTCAGTAGTAAGGGTGTGTGTGTGTGTGTGTGTGTGTGTGTGTGTGTGTGTGTGTGTGTGTGTGAGTGAGTGTTTGCTGCAGTTTTAGGGTGCTAAGCAGGAAGAGGAGGTTGGTCTGGTGGAATGAGATGTAAATGTGGGGGAGGGTACAGGAAAATGGAGGATGTTTGGGGTCAGGCCACCTGTTGAGAGCAGTTATAGTCCTTATGAGAGTGGTCATCACAACTACCCAGAAGAGGAAGAAGAGAGTCCTGTCCCCACTTAGACCAAGGACAAATGACACACAAACACTTTGGGTCTGAGAGTGCCAGAAAAGGGCAGCCAGCCCTCATCTGCCAGACACGGGCTTGGTTCCCACTCTGGGTAATGTCACCCCTGCCTCTGCCATTCCTGCCTTAGTACAAGCTCTGCTGGAGACTGACACTGCCATCCAGACTGTAGTTGGTGGAGCAGAGACAAGGGGGGTCCTGCTCCTGACATGAGACCTATCAATGGCTATATTCAGCTTGTTCCCACAGTCCGGTGCTTTGAGCCAGACACACAGAAATCTTCTAGCAGGCACTTGGCCCACAGACTCTGTCAGACAAGACCCCAGAGGTGTGCTCTCAGGAAGAAGAGCCACAGAAAAGAGTGCATTCATCTTTCCTTTCCCAGGACCTGCCCTGCAGGCTCAGAAGTCCGAGTCTGCATCCAGGAGCTCGGCCTCCATTAGGTTAGTGCGGGAATGAATGGATCCCAGCCCCTGGAGGCGGCCCTGAGCCCAGACCCTCGGGGCTGAGGCACCAGGGAGAAATGGGTCTTGATGGGGACTAGGCTCTGGACAGAAGGGGTTGGAGACTAGAGTCCAGGCTCCCTGCCGGCAGGACTCCCCTGACCCCCAGGCGTTTGCAGCTACCAGGCACTTCTGCCGGGGCAGCTGAGGCAGCCGAGGAACCGCACTGGGGGCAGGGGCAGGGGCAGGGTGGTGAAGCTCAGGGGCTGGCCCCAGTGGGCACACCTCCTTCTTCCTCTTCCTCCGCTTCTTCTTCCGGCCCAAGCGCTTCTCTAGCTCTGGGGAGATCTCGGCCTCAACCAGCCACAGGTTGCCTTGTTCCTCCGGTGGCACTGTCAGGGGAAAAGAACATAGCTGAGGACTTTAAGTCTGTCCTTGCCGCCCTGCCCTCCCCAGAACCCCTGTTCTTGGGCTCTGGAACCCATCACTCTAGGCTCCCCAAGCCTTGGCACCCCTTCAGGTCCTCTGAGGCCTTTCCTTTCTTCCCCCAGTCTAGCAGCCCCATATACTCCAGTCCCAGGAGCTCCTAGCCCTGTGCCCCTTGCCCCTTCCTGCAGAAGCTAGAGCCCTCATACCTGGAGTTGCCACAGGGGTGACGGACACATCCTGAGGCAGTATGGCTCCTCTCCGAGCCACCATTTTGGTGACATGCTGGGCCCAGGCAGAGGAGACATCAGCTGAAGGTTCATTGAGGTCAAAAGCCAAACCCGCTTTGGGAACGAAAGGACAGAGGAACAGTGACTCTTCCTTATGTGACACCACTCATCTTTCTTAGGCAGTCCCTCCCACTGCAGCTGGCAGAGTCCACCCTGTCACCAGTGACCTGCCCATTCAAAATCGGAGGGGAGCCGCCTCTGGTCCCCAAGAGGTATAACTCGAGACCGTAAGTCCAGGACCAGCACCCTGACTTCCTCTGGCCCAGAAAAGCCCCTGGAGATGGCAGAGCAGAAGGGAGAGGGAGTAGGTTGCTCAGAGAAGCACGCCAGCAGAGAACAGGCCGGGAGAAGAACAGAAACGGGAAGAACCCGGCTCGGAGGACTGGAGCAGAGTGGAAGTGTGGAAGTGTCTCATTTCCCAGTTTGCCAAACTGTCCGTGTGTCCTGGGTGGGGACAGGTCAGGTACTGTGGAGGTTAAGTGTCTCAGCGGGAGACCAGACTGAGGCTCACCCACGGGTCCATCATGGGAGACAGTGTGCATGCTGAAGGAGAGCTCCTGGCCCGGGTTCTGCAGCAGTTCACGTCGCTTAGAGAAGGCCTTGGCAATCATCTTGCTCTTCTTGATCCTTTTGGGCTCATCGTCACTCTGCCCAGTCAACCTGAGAACAGACAGGGTGGGGCCGGAACATGGAAGAGCAGCTGCTTCCTTTCAAATCCATCGAAAGATCTGGAATTCTATGTTTAAGGACCTGAAGTCCTGAGGACTCTGAGAAGCTGAGGCCTTCATTGCAACACAGCATGCCTGGAACACAGAGCTCCTGTGGGCCCTCCTTGCAAAAACACTGGCCGTCAGATTCAGCTTAGGCCCAAACCTCCTAGGGACAGAAGCTGTCACTAGAGGGCAGTGTTGAGCTGCTAAGAAGTTAGCCTCGCAGCTCTGGAGTGTGCTTCGGCACACAGCTGCCCCAGCCTGTGTTTTGGATTAGACAAGACCTCAAGTGAGGACATGAGCCTGGGGGGAAGACAGGAAGGACAAGATTAGATGGCTGCTAACCCCACCTGCACCAGGTACGCCTCCAGATGAGCAGTGTTGCCTTGGTCCAGACCCAGGTGCTCATGGCAATGCCAGTACCAAACATGGCAAATAGATTGATCTTCTCCACCAGGAGGCTGGGCCGATTCTTGATCTCACAGTCTGGAATGGGCTTCTTGGTAGGCAACCCAATGGTCACATTGGCCTGGCACCTATGGTGAGGGATGGTCAACAGCTGAGGCTGTCTGAATCCAGTAAGAAGCATAAAGCAAGCATAATCCCATTCAGGAAAGAGCTGAGCCCCAGCATGACTCTCATGGTGCTCCCTGGTTGGATGTGTTGTCTGTGTGTATCAGTGCTGGGGATAGAACCTAGGCCACAAGCATGCTAGACTCTCCCACTGAACTATACCACTAGCCCCCATGGCATTCTTTGGAATCATCTAGGGAGCTTTTATTAACTATCTGAGCCTCACATCAAACCTCTGGGACAAGAATCCAGTGTCACTGTGGTTACAGCTTCCCAGACTGGAAGGTAGAAAGTGCCAGAATGAGCCAGAAGCAGTCAGGGCAAGCATCCCTATCCCCTATTTTATTAATGAGATTTATTTATTTATTACGTGTCTGTATGTATATGTTCTGTGTGTGTATACCACTTATATTCAGATGCCTGCAGAGTCCAGGAGAGGGTATTGTATCCCTGCAGCTAGAGGAACAGGTATTTGTGAGTTCCAGGTATAGGTACTGGGAACTGAACTCGGGTCCTGTGGAAGAGTAGCAAGCACTCCTAACAGCAGAGCCATAGCCCCAGGCCAGGAGTACCCCTTTCAAGGGGAGCTTTAGCCAGGGCCCCAGCAGCAGCAGGCATCCTTTCAGGAGTAGAGACGACTCACTTACTCTTGGTTCACCCTCACTGGGACTCAAAAAAAGCTCAAGCAAGACTGGCAAACTTGACCAGGTTGCTGAACTGTCACAGGACCTGGCCCTGTGCAGTGACTCAGAGAGAGCCACGGAAGGCAGAAGGCACACAGAATGAGAGAGCTCAGCTTCTGCAGCCTGATAGATCAGAATCAGGCAGAGAACATAGGGTGGCTTCTGAACAGTTGCAAACACACAGGACAGCCTGTCCAGGGGTTGCAGACAGACATGTGCAGTTGAACAGTAATGTGAAAGCTGTTTCTATCTGAGGCAGGACCCTGCAAGACAAGTGAATGGGATGCTGCCTTACAGCCGGAGCTCAATTCGGCCACTCCCACAGCTGAGCCCGCAGCCCCTCACTCACAACACATAGTCCCGGAAGCTGCGCTCCCACTCAGCCTGGTTGAAGAAGTCATAGAAGTGGCAGCTGAAGGTGATGAGCACAAAGCCAAAAGCCAGGAAGCCAAAGATGCCTGTGGAATTCAGGGGCGGGATCAGTTACCAGAACAGACACTGTAGCCACACCAGAGAGGAGGGCACCTGCCCCACTGAGCACTGAAGACAGCCTAGTCCAGGGTGACTGACTACGTGCTGGGCTCAGGTCAAGAACTGTATCCTCCAAAATAAATCCAGAAGGTCCTGGAGGCAACTATGGGAGGCCACAGGAAGGGGAAGTAGTCTTGGCACCGACCTGGATCCTTTCACTTCTTACAGGAACTTGCCACCTCCACTATCACCTCCACCTTGGCTCTGTCCCCTGAGCACTTAACTCTCCCCACTGTTTTCTGCATCCTGGAGGTCCCAGGAGGATTCAGCATTGAGCTGACCAAAGTCCCTGGGCCCTACTCACCCAGGCGCAGCATGGTCTCATTGATCTTGCTGGCGGCCTTCTCACTCAGAAGCCCAGGGTGGTTGCTCTTGATGGAGAACAGAGTCATGACCCCTGCACAGAAAGACAGCTCAGGCATTAGCCAGGGAGAGGCCACTCTCCTGGGAAGGGGAGGGAGGGAGGTCCCACGGCACTGGAGTCCTATGACTAATTACACCCAACCTGACTTAAAGCTTGGGGAACCAGAGAATGAGAGAACACCTATCGGCAAATATGCTATGGGCTAGGGTGACTGTGGCAGGGCCTAGAAAACAGCCAAGGACAGAGAGAGGAAACCATGAAAGCTATTCTGATGGAAACAATCAACAACAGTATTGCTCATACATTGTGCAACAGACATAGAAAATCTCAATTTTTCTAGGAGCCACATTAAAAAAGAAACTATAGCCGGGCGGTGGTGGCGCACGCCTTTAATCCCAGCACTCGGGAGGCAGGGGCAGGCGGATCTCTGTGAGTTCGAGGCCAGCCTGGTCTACAGCGCGAGATCCAGGAAAGGCGCAAAGCTACACAGAGAAACCCTGTCTCGAAAAACCAAAAAAAAAAAAAAAAAAAAAAAAGAAGCTATAATTTTACTGTATTTTATAAACCAAATATATCCAAAATAGAACCACTTCTACATTCCACATGACAAATTATTAGTGATATAATCTATATCTGGATTTTCCCCCTCTCTTTTTCATATTAAATCTCAAACACACAATGTTTTTTACACTCAAAAAGCATCTCAGTTTGGCCTCATTTCAACATCCGTGGCTACCAGTTACCGTATGGGATGGCACAGACGTGCGACATACAGCAGAGGCTTGGATGCTCTGCCAGAGAGGCAGGGAAGAAGGCTGAACAGAAGGCTGACAGTTCAGGGGGAGGAGACCAAAGCTGATAGAGCAAACCAAGGCAAATGAGCTAGAGACCAAGGCAAATCATGGGGTGGCAGACTGAGACGGGGAAATTAGGGACCAGTAAATCTGTACATGTTGTGAAAACTGTTTGTGTATGTTAAGGGGTTGAAATGACTTGGAAGCCAAGCTCCAAAAACATGAAAGTATATTTAAGCTAGTGTGAGCACACATAAGCAATGGCCCCAAGATGGTCGGTGTGGCCCAGCCAACTGTCCCAGGGTGTTCATAATACAAGTATACTCCAGCAAGGGATAAAAGGGTCTGGAATCCAGCCCAAGCTCCCCTCAAAAAAACCAAGAGCCTTGGTCATGGCTGTGAAAGAAGAGGTACATTTTTCTGTCCTCAGAGAAGGGCTGTCATGCCTTTGGGGTCATCTTCTTCTATATTGCACCATGGTCTTGGGTCTCGTGTCAAAAAATGGAAGGCAGCAGAGCTGGAAGTTCCGATTCCTACTTCCACAGAGCAGGTGCTCAGCACACTCTTACCTGGCTGGCCCTGGCCGAGGGACTCACCTCGGATGAGGAAGTAGCCGCCCACAATAAGCACCAGGCCAATTGGAGCCAGTACAAAGCCAGCACGGTACCGGTAGTTCTTGTAGCCCACAAAACAGATACCGCTCACAGAGTCCCCATCTACCTGTAGCAGGAAGGTGAGGGAGAGATAGTGAGTTACTGCTCTTCCTCCAAGCTCACCCCTTTCAGCCAGCCCCCCACCACTTTACCTGGGCCACAGCGAGGATTGCCACCGTGAGGACAAACGGCAGTGACCATGTGAGCAGGTGGAAGTAGGAGGTCTTGCCCGAGAGAGGCTGGTAGGTGGTGCCCAAGGCTTTGAAGGAGGTGTGCCAGGCGTAGGTGAGGACCACGAACCAGACCACTCCAGCCATCAAGGCATAGTACACGATGACAAAGATGATGACACAGGACAGGGTCTCGCTGGAGCTGTGAAGACGCGGGGTGCCTCTTGAGGCAAGCACTTGGGACTCTTCCGCTAGATTGCTCCACCCTGTCCCCAGGTCCTAATCGACTAAAACACGGAGGATCCCCCGGAGTTTAGGACACAGATGTGTCAGATGTGAAGAAGCTCAGTTCCGGTGCTGAGACACAAGCCAGGGTCTCAACACTGAACCCAATAAGGAAGTGCTAAATCCTACCCAGAATGGTCACCTTCAAGTCCAATCCCTTCCTTTTGTGGAAAATGTGCATTGCAGTCTTCCCCCTTCCACCCTCACCTCTGGGTCCCCAAGAGACTTACGTGGGCTCCCCAAATCTCATGGTGCCATCTGCTCGGCAAACAATCTCCCGACGGGCACCATCCATGAACTGGGCCAGCCAACCAATGCTGCCCACGAAGAAACATGCATTGACATAGAAGAGAATAACCGCAGGGTAGCGATTGGAGTTCCGCCAGTCAGCCACAAAGGTGGCCTAAAGGGAGAAGTGGCCGTGCAGTGAAATGAGGGTCTGTTCTGATGCAGAGGCCCTGATCTGAACCCAAGACCGTCCCCCTCCCATAATCTCCCATGGGTACCCTACCGAGCCACTCTGTTTTAGAGTCCCTGCACCTTGGGCTGTCAAGAGGCCCGTGCCCTGGCCCTTGGAACACGGCTCACCAGTGTGAAGAGTGTGCAGAGGCCGGTGACCGCCCCGAAGGCTGCAATGTAGCTGTGCATGTCCTGGTGTTCAGCCTCGGTGAAGAGCGGGTTCTGGCACTGGATCCCGCAGCCCTCCACGTCCTCATACCAGCTCTTGGGGTTGTCTGTCCGCACCAGGGGCGCTTCACATTGGCCTGAACTGTTGAACTTGATGTTCTGTACCTCATTCTGGCACAGGGAGGGAGAAAGGAAACGCCAAGGGGGGAGGTAAGTCAGGGCTGAGGTTCTTGTTGGGGAAATGCGGCAAGAGCAGGTATGCCACTGGAGGCCCGCTTGCTGCTCAGCGGTTCCACAGCCTTGGACAAATTATTTGACTACTCTGTATTTCATTTCCACATCTGAGAGAGTAGCCCCTACCTCATGATAGGACCTAAGGACTAGGTTAAAGTTCCCACAATGGTATTTGTATGTAGAAAACGATAATTAGTATCATTACTATCATTCTGTTATCACTTCAGATGTCTCTTTTCCAACCCACACTAGCTCACACCCGTCTTCCTGCTGTTGGTGCTTCATGTGTATTTGCTCTGACTCCTACATATAACAAAAACCCCTGAAAACAGGGCCTCCTGTCATTCATAACCCCTATAAACCACAACCAAAACAGTGACCACTCAAAAACTGTTTGCTCAATGTGTCACCTCAGGTCAACAGAGACGCCTCCATAGAGACCCAGATAGTGGGTTACAGCTCAGGTGTGGCCTCATGTGTCTACAGACGCAGGGTCTCCTAGGAGACACATCTCTGACTCCCCTGCATTCGGTTCAAAGCTGCTCTGTGTGCCCGGCTAGACCACCCTATCTTGCCCCACAGAGCACTTACTGGGCAGCCTTCGGGGAAGTGGTCCGGGGTGCAACGCAGGAAGTCGGGCCACCCTCGCTCCCGCTCCACAATGGCACAGGGGCCTCGGGTGGCCTGGCAGAGGGTGCGGCTGGGCAGCTCCACTCGGTCATTCTCACACTTGGGCATATAGACAGCACATAGCAGGGGCTGGATCACTGCCCAGCAGCGGGGGGCATTCCGGAGGCCTGGGAAGTGGTGACAGTGTGGGTACATTGTGGCAAAGACCCTCTCCTCATTGACCCACTGATACAGCTGTAGCCCCTGCTCCCTAAGCCTTTGCCATACCATTTCTCAAGAGGACGTCTGGAGAGGGCAGTCTTGGTACTACAGGGCTGCCCCATGCATTGCAGGACACTTAGCACCCCTAGACCCTGCTCCCTAAATGCCAGCAGAACCCTGAGGTCATTGTAACAACCAAAAATATGCACTCCCAACTCCAGAGACGTCAACTAAAACAGGGCTGGAAGAGAAGGGCCAGAATAGCTGGGCATAGTCTAGCTCTTTAAAACAATAATTGTTAGATTTATATATTTTATTTTAATGAGAGTATTTTGCATGTTTACACCATGTGTATGCATAGTGTCTGTGGGGGTCAGAAGGGCATTGGATCCCCTAGAAATGGAGCTACAGCTGGTTGTGAACTGCCATGTGGGTGCTGGGAGTCGAACAGGGTCCTCTGCAAGAGCAAGAAGTGCTCGTCACTGCTGAGCCATCTCTTCAGCCCCACATGGTCTAGTTCTTCAGCAGATGTCGGTTACATGCGTGCACTCACTTTGTGCAAGTCAAACTTGTGGCCCATTCACTAACGCAGACACTATAATTCCCTTACCATTCTTAAAATGGCTGCCACTTTTGAACACTCTGTTGAGGGGTGGTAGGGCCATTGACTGAGAACCTCAGGTGGGGAGGATCTCCTTAGGGTGTCTTCTAAACCTTTCTAAAGGCCTCTCTCTTCCAATGCAGAAGGGCTGTGGGACCCATTCACCAGGACCAAGAGATGTTTCCCCGTGCCCAGCCCCCAAAGTCCCTTTTCCTCTTACCAAGTTGAGGCAGAGAGAGAGGACATGAGGGTTTAAGAAGAGGCGCAGAGGAGCCAGGAACTCCAGAGCCAGAGGAGGAAACAGGTCAGATGGAGAGAAACAGAAGAGGCTCTGTCCAGTGCAGAGGGAGGAAAGACAGGCGCTTGTCAGCACTGACACACAGATGTTTCCCCAACCCCCAACCCAGCCAGGATGTTGACTTGCTCATCCCAGGTCTCAGATTGCTGAGCTCTCTGCCCCGCTGGCCCCTCTAAAGTCACCCCTACTTTGGGAACACCAACATTCCAGGCCAGAAGTTGTACTAGGGGACTCTTCTGAGAAATGAGAGCCACTGTGGATAGTGACCCGCTGTCGGGCTAGGGACGGGGGCAGGCAGCCACTCTCTCGGTGGGGGTTAGCAATGGACGACAGGAGTAAGGAGTATGGACATTGTGACTGGCCTGCTTAGGTCCAGATCTTGGCCCCACCATCCCCTGACTGTGTGGTCTTGAACAAAGTACTTCATCTCTAGCCTCAGTCTCCTTATCTGCAAAATGGAGATGACAGATTTACCTTGTGGCATACTGGGCACAGTGAGAAATGGCACAACATATGTGTGTGGCACAGCCCCTATCAAGTACTACGAGTACTGTTTGTAGTACCAGTCTGAGACCTACTCTCAGGCTTCATAGCTCCAAGAAAGTTCCTGCCAGTTATGATGCAATATCCTCAGACAACAGTCCCTCCACTGACACTAGTCACCATCACCTGGGAGTCTTTATCACCTAGAGGGAGGACCCAGTCTGGGAAACTCTGAGCCCATGGGTTTTAGTAGGAAACAGAGCAGTTGGGGGCGGGGGGGGGGGGGGGGGGGGGGGGGGGGGGAGGGAGACGACTGTGCAATGTATGTGTCCCCACCAACACATCATGACATCCCAAGAAGAAAATTCATTTAGAACCCTTGAACTACTCAGCAGTCAAGCTTAACAACACAGTATGCTGTAGCATGTTCAATATTTCCCCATGTGATCAAATGGCTGAGCTGTGGCTGTGGCTAATGGCTGCTGCCCAGCATCTGGAAAGGAAAATCAGACCGCATATTCTGACCTGGGAAAGGATCCAAATTCAAAAGTAGTGGCATGATGGCTATTTAATGCATGCCACTTCTGCACCATCCTTAAGACAGAAAAATTGTTTAAGTTGAACCACTGTAAAATGGGGCTGTCCGCTTAAAGGCAGATGGGGAGCCAATGAGCTGGCTCAGTAGGTAAAGGAGCTTGCCGCCAAGCCTGACGACCTGAGTTAGAATTCTGGGGCCACATGGTGAAAGGAAAGAACTAACTCCCTTAACTTGTCATATGACCGCCACATGTCCACCATGGCACGGACACACGTGCACACACACACACACACACACACACACACACACACACACACACGTAATAAAAATTGTTTTAAAAAAAAAAGGCTGGGCAGTGATGGCACACGCCTTTAATCTCAGCATTCAGAAGGCAGTCAGATCTCAGAGTTCGAGGCCAGCCTGGTCTACAGATCGAGTTCCAGGACAACTAGAGCTGTACAGAGAAATCCTGTCTTGAAAAAAACAAAACTAAAAAAAATAAAAGCAGATGAGACTATTCTCCATCTTGAATATGGTGACTAGTCACACAACTCTATGCTTTTTATAAAACAATTTTTTAAAACATATAACTCTATGCTTTTGTTTAAATTCACAAAACTGCAAAGGAGAAGCATGGGGCTAGGGATGTACCTCAGTTGGTAAAAGGCGCTTGCCTAGCACACGTGAAGGTGTAAATCTGATCCTCAGCACTACATAAACTGGGCCCAGTGGTGTATGCCTGGAATCCCAGCACTAGGAGGAGGCGGGATGATCAGGAGTTCAAGTTCACCCTGGACAATAATACATACAAAGTTCAAAGCTAGTCTGGGATATATGAGACCTTGTCTCAAGGGGGGAAGGGAGGAGGATTTATTGAATGCTTATTAAATAATATGTTTAAAATACAAAAGCCGGGAAGCTACCTGGAGCATTTTTTTTTCTTTTTTTTTTTTCTTTTTTTTGGTTTTTCGAGACAGGGTTTCTCTGTGTAGCTTTGCGCCTTTCCTGGAACTCACTTGGTAGTCCAGGCTGGCCTCGAACTCACAGAGATCCGCCTGGCTCTGCCTCCCGAGTGCTGGGATTAAAGGCATGCGCCACCACTGCCCGGCCAATTTTTTTGTTTTTTAAAGACTAAGCCTTACTATGTAGACTGGCCTGGAACTCACTAGTAGACCAGGCTGGCCTGGAATTCACAGAAATCCATCTTCCCCTGCCTCCCAAGTGCTGGGATTAAAGGGTTGTGTCAATAGGGGGAAAGTTCCCATACCACCACTCCAATTCTTACATAAAAGAAGTTTCCAGGGGCTGAAGATGGGTCAGTGGTTAAGAGTGCATATTGCTCTTGAAGAGAACCTGAGTTTAGTTTCCACAGCAAGCAGATCATAAACCCTGGACGCCAGTTCCAGGGGAATCTGCATCTCTGGCCACCCTGGGCACTTGCACTCAAACGTATACTCACACATTAAGAATTAGTAATAATAGGGCTGGAGAGATGGCTCAGAGGTTAAGAGTGCTATCTGCTCTTCCAGAGGTCCTGAGTTCAATTCCCAGCAACCACATGGTGGCTAACAACCATCTATAATGAGATCTGGTGCCCTCTTCTGACATGCAGGCATACCTGCAGGCAGAACACTGTACACATAATAAATAAATAAATCTTTTTTTTTTTTTTTTTTTTGGTTTTTTCGAGACAGGGTTTCTCTGTGTAGCTTTGCGCCTTTCCTGGATCTCGCGCTGTAGACCAGGCTGGCCTCGAACTCACAGAGATCCGCCTGCCTCTGCCTCCCGAGTGCTGGGATTAAAGGCGTGCGCCACCACCTCCCGGCTCAAATAAATCTTTAAAAAAAAAAAAAAAAAAAAAAAAAAGAGCACTGCTTGCTCTTCCAAAGGTCCTGAGTTCAATTTCCAGCAACCACATGGTGGCTCACAACCATCTGCAATGAGATCTGGCTCCCTCTTCTGGCCTGCAGGGATATGTGCAGATAGAACACTGTAGACATAATAAATAAATAAACCTTAAAAAAAGAATTAGAAATAATAAATCTTTTTTTTAACAGAAAATTCTAGGTGGGTCAAAAATAACTACAGTATTTTAAAAATTAAAGTAGTAGAAGAAAATATGAGAAACCAAGGAGTATTGTTTGGGGTATGTGTGTGTGTGTATGTTGTGTATGTGTGCATGCTTGTGGGGTGTGTGTGCGCGCGCACGTGCGCGGATGAGACCACTCCATCACTCTCAACCTTTTTTCTCTAAAACATCATTACATTTTTATTATGATACTAGGGGAGGGGCTGTGCATGGGCACACACGACTGGGAGGATTTCAGGACTCTGTTCTCTCCTCCCATCACATGGGTCCTGAGGATTGAACTCAAGTTCTCAGTCTTGGCAGCAGGTGCTTTTACTCACTGAGCCATCCCTCCAACCCTCCACTTCGTTTTTTGAGACAAGGTCTCTCCCTGAACCCAGAGCTCGTTGATTTGGTGGACCAGCTGGCTCCCCAGCCTAAGGGATCCGCTGTCTTTTTTTCCCGGTGCTGGGATTACAGCAGTGCCCCTCCACGTCTAGAGTTTTACACAGATGCTGGGAATCTGAATTCAGGTCCTCGTGCCTGCAGGGCAAGCACTTCGCCCACTTCGTTATTTCTCCAGCCATGGTGGTTTGAAGGAGCAAGGCCCCCACAGGCTCATACATTTGAATACTTGTTTCCTAGTTGGTAGAATTGTTTGGGGAGAATTGGGAGGCGTAGCCTTGTTGGAGGAAGTGTGTTACTGGGGACAGGCTTTGAGGTTTCAAAAGCCTAAAGCATTCCCAGGTAGCTTTTTCTTTCTGTACCTCATGCTTACAGATCAGGAAGTAAACTCTCAGCTACTGCTTCAACGCCATGCCTGCCTGCAGCCAGGCTCCCCACCCTGGGGGTCTCCACCCATCTCAAACTGTAAGCCAGCCCCAAATAAATTCTTTTCTTCTGTAAGTTGCCTCGGTCGTGGTGTCTTATCACAGCAACAGGACAGTGACCAAGACACTAGCCTTATTTTGTTTTGTTTTTAAGACAGGGCTTCTTGATATACTCTTGGCTGGCTTACAACAACCTGGCCTCAGACTTATGACAACCCATATGTAGGAGCCTCCCGAGGTTGGGATTTTAAAATCATCGTGTCTGGCTTTGTGAATTGTTTTTTAAACCTTGGAGTGAGAATGACCTTTTGAAGCAACACATACACACACACACACACACACACACACACACACACACACACACACACACACGCGCGCGCGCGCGCGTGCGGAAGCTATGAAATAAATGAATTAAAAAAAAAAACACTTCAGAAAAGACCTGATAAATTCAATAGGGTAAAAAACAAAGTCATGGGGTTAGAGAGATGGCCCAGCATGTAAGAACACTTGCAGCTCTTCCAGAGAACCCAAGTTAGGTTCCCAGAACCCACATCAGGAGACTAACAACAGCTCCAACTGCAGGTGATCCAACTCTCTCTTCTTGCCTCCAAGGACACCCATGCACATGTGATGGACACACACAAAAATAAAAATAAATCTTTTTTTTCCAACCATAAGAAAAGTAACATACTGAGAAAATACATTTCCAGTATATAATCAGTGATAAAAGGCTAATCTCCTTAAATGCACAAAGCTCTTCCAAATCAAAAAGAAACGTATAATCCTGTAGAATGATGGACAAAGGCAGAATTAATCACACAGAGAATGAATGTGTGACTTTTCAGAACATAAATCTTCGATCTCAGTCTTAAGATAAATGCAAAATACATGATGAGATACAACTTTTTATATCCTTTAGACTAATAAAGATTTAATCCCAGCACTCGGGAGGCAGAGCCAGGCGGATCTCTGTGAGTTCAAGGCCAGCCTGGACTACCAAGTGAGTTCCAGGAAAGGCGCAAAGCTACACAGAGAGACCCTGTCTCGAAAAACCAAAAAAAAAAAAAAAAAGATGAAAACATTTGAAAATATTGAACCATCAAGCATGTGGGGGGAAACAGGCACTTTTACATATTGTCAGAGGTAACAAATATTGTTAAACTTTGGGGAGACCACTTACTATCAGAATTTTATGGCAATTTTACTTCACAAATGGATGATATATATCATTATTCACGACAGTACTGACCGTAACATCAAGAGTAGGAAGAACAGCTGGAGTTCACATCCTTCATAGGAGATTAGCCATAAAACCCACACGCTGGGGCTGGGATGAAGCTCAGTGGTAGAGCAAATGCCTCATATGCATAAGGTCCTGGGTTCCAGTCCCAGCACCACACACACACACACACATACACACACACACACACACACACACACACACACACACACACACACACATCCCACAAACAATATAATACAACACAGGGCTGCAGAGATGGCTCAGCAATTAAAAGCACAGGCTACTTTTCCAGAAGAACAGAGTTTGAGTCCCAGCACCCATATAGCAGCTCACAACCATCTCGGGTGTACACATAGTGCACAGACATACACTCAGGCAAAATATCCTGTGGTGGTTTGAATGAGAATGACCCCCATAGGCTCATATATGTGAATGCTTGCTAGTCAGTTGGTGGAACTATTTAGGAAGGATTAGGAGGTATATCCCTGTTGGACATGGTATGTCACTGGGGGTGAGTTTTGAGGTTTCAAAAGC